TACACGTAAAATAAAAACAATTTTAAAACTAATTCACCCAGAAGAAGGAGACAACAATACCCCCCCACACACACACCAGTTCCTCTTTTTTATTAAGGCTGGAACCCCATAAATGACTCTCAGAAAACAAAAGAGTGCAAGCAGCGGGAATTAAAGTTTACGAGCGTTAGCTGTAGTTGCTTTTTGTAGGTGTCACACTTTAAGGTAGCGAGATAGTTCATGTTCCTTCTGAAAGACCTTGATGAATTTCTAATTGTTGACAATGCATTCTGCCACCCAATGGGGTAGATGTTTGGGGCTTTGGACTCCCTGGGGCTCATAAGTTGCCAGATACTAGCTGTGTATGACTACACAGAGGCAACGTGGCGAGAGCAACGTGAAGACGAATGAGGGTGAGTTTTGCTTCGAAGGGATGTGAGTGCTTCTCTGTTCCATTGAGCCCCTGATTCGTGTGTGCGTGTGTGTGTGTGTGTGTGTGAGAGAGAGAGAGAGAGAGAGCCCCTGATTCGTGTGTGCGCGTGTGTGTTTTTGTGTGTGCGTGTGTGTGCACATGTGTGTGTGTGAGAGAGAGACAGAGAGAGAGAGACTTATGTCTTGGACATAAGGGATATAGAGGAAAACAAAATTAAGCCAAATATGAAGATAACAAACTGATGCATTTTCCAGTTCCTGCAAGATTGCATCTCATACTCTTGGATACTTTTAATGCTTTGCCAGGTTTTCGCTGATGGTCTGTTCAGGGTACAGGGTGATGCTTTATTTATGGCAAGGCTGCAGCTTCCTTTGACTGCTCGCTCTTTTGCAAGGATGTGTATGAAGATAGCCACTAAGTTTATTGTTACACTTCACCATAGGACAAGAATCTACATTTCCAATCAAGCATAGGACACTCCAATTTAACAAGTTGTGAAAAGTCTGTTGGCCCAGATAAAAATATATGTTGAGTGTTTCTCCCTGTAAATTAAGACCTTGATCCTAGAAGCCCAAGAATTATTAAGCCATAATTGGCCCTACTCACTGATGATGAAAATATGATAATAATAATGCATGGGGCTTTGGAGGAACACTGTGGTCTTATTGCTGCTTTTCATATCTCTAGTTTTAAAATAGTGTTTCTGTTTCATCTGATAGCTGCTTTTCTTACAGCAAGTTGTCACCCAAGTTTTCAGTGCTGCAGATGCTGACATCTGTCCTGGTGGCAACATAGAATGCCCCACATCACCTCAGAATATCATATCCATTCTGAGGCTTTCCAGAAAAGGAAGCTTGCTTCGTCTAGCAGGTGTGAAGAGGCAGCAAGTGCTTTTCAGCAATGCTCTGCTTCGGTGAACGGGCTCCGCAGCAGAGTGATCCTTTCCTGATTCTGCTAGCTGATCTGGTTAAGGAAACTAGCTTTGCTCAGCTGCTGAAGTAACTCGATTAGTGGCACAGAGTTGTCATGGTGAGCTCCAAACGTGGGCTCCCTCGCATCCAGAGCCAGCCTTCCTACCCTGCTGCCGGTGCACCTGCTCAGAGCACTACAGCAATCCATCCACTTGGCGCCTGACAGAGGAACCAGTCCCGTCTCTCCGTTTGTCTAAATAAATAAGCAAATCCTGGGTTTGACTTCCCGACACTGAAACCTGCGCAGGGCGCATTGCAGTCATCTGTCACTTGCATTACCTTTAATACACCCATAGCAGTCCCACAAGAGTTTGTTTCCCTGTATTGTTTATGACTGTCCTAAAGTTAGCATAAAAAGGAATGGGTTCCATTATGGAACTCTCATGTGTATCTCATTGTGCTGGTTCTTATTTTTTCTCTTCACCACCATTCTCTGTCTCTCTTCTGCTTTCCAGTCACCTGTATTCATTACATTCTCTCCCCTCTCATGGTCCCCTTTCTGCTTTCCTCACACACACATACATGCACACATACACACATGCAGATGCATGCACACATGTATACACATACATACATGCATCTATAAACATGCACACATATGCAGATACTCATGTACACATATATACACAAATACACATATACATACACACATACAAATATCCACACTTATACACACATGTAACACATATACATACACCATGTACATATACATATACAATGCATATACACACACAAACATATTTATATGTGCATGTATAAACATGCACATATATGTACACACATGTACATATAAACACATGCATATACATATACACACATGCAGATACACATATACACATATACAAATATATACATATATAACATACATATACACCATACACATATACATATGTAATATATATACACATATATATACACATATATGTACACACAGGTGCCCATGTCCACATGCATAAGTGTATGTGTACATACTCATATACATAGGTATCTATTATATGCACAGGTACACTGATACACTTGTATACATATATGTATGTATATAGACACATGTACTCACAAATATTAATACATATATACATGTATCCACATGTACATATATATGCATGTACACATAAATCATATACATATACACATACAGACATGTACACACAGGTACGCAGGAGCACATTATCACATACATGTATATACACATATGTAAACATGCGCCCCCACAATTTATTTGTGTCATTATTACTGAATGTTAGCTGGGAAACACCTCATTGCCATTGGAAAGGCTGTTACCATAGCCCTTTATTTTTGCCTGCATTTTGCTACAGCTCTTCCTTCTGTGGTCATTTGTAATAGTGACATTTTATGTCTAGCCGTGCACATAATGCTCCAGTCACATCACTACCAAGTTAATGTGACTGGACATTAAGAGGATGTAATTAAGAAGTATTTTACTGTGAATTGTATTAGGTGTTGATGAGGGACTTTGCTGAGCACACTGGAAGGTGTGCAGGCTAAGGAATCAGGTGGTTTGGGTTGACACCTTGGCCCAGGGGCTCACTGGTTATGGTCCTCATTACTGCAGCGTGGTCTGTTCCTAGAACTCACTCTCTCTTCATTTCCTAGAGTGAAAATGGTGGTTCTTGTGGGATTAGTCATGAGTTCCCCAGACTGTTGGCTCACAGGAACCTATGTGAATGCTTGAGGTGGAGAGGTTGTTCTTTTTCTCCCTGTCAGGGAGAACCTAGCAAGGGGCTGGGGGCCGGCATTACAGATGACAGTGTATCCCACAATGCTATGGCCTGCAGAATCTCAAGTCTGCGGAAGGAGTTCTGCTCAGCCAGTGGCCACACAGTAAATCACTCAGTATTTGATGCCGTGGTGGGGCTTTGTGCTGTAGTGCAGAGGTGTGTTCTGAGGAAGTTTTGTCAGAAGAGAGAATAAATTCAGTGACAGAAGAAAGGGTCTACAGCACGGGAACTCTTGGTTATAAACTTTTAAAGTAGAATTTAAAATAGGTATTCTATCGGTATATCTCAGTCTTGAACAACATACAGTGTGATTTTAAAGAATATCCTACTGTGATAAATATTCACAGGTCATGTCTGACCACATCTTGCCATGCTTTTATGTAGCCAAAAGGAAAAGTATGATTAGGTACAATAGCCTTCTGTAGTAAATATCATTTCACATTTCACTGAGATTATTCTACAGAGCAAAAATCCAGAAGAGATGGGACCAAAGGGGGATTTTCTTTTGAGTTCAGGAAGTTTCTACCGTGTGTGCTGAGGGCTGTTCCAATTCGCCCACCAATCCCACCACTATGTACTCTGCAGAAGGGAAAACTATCCTTAAAGCCAGCCTGCACCTGATTTGCTTAAACTAAGAGGACTCCATCCTGTGGTAGTGGCCAGGGTAGGACTGCAAAAGCCTACCATTGTTTCCAGCATTTGAAAGCCATTTGGAGGGATAGCTATGATGGGAAGCAAGCCCTCAAGGAAATTCCAGAATTATTCTTGCTTGGCTCTGACACATATCATGGTGTGCATTTTTTCTGAAAATCGTTGACACTCAGGAGACTACATTTTCTCATAAACCTTTCCATTTTTATCATGTACACTGGCTTTGAGTGGAGGAGATAAGGGTCACGCCACACCAGTCACACCGAATTCCTGGGAGACACTAATCCAGGAGGGGTTGCTGCCAAAGCCCGGATACATCTTGCCATTCTTGGCTATTAGCATTTACAGAGAAGCTATGTCTTGATGTTACACAGAGCATGTATTACTGTACTCGTCTCTAGACCTTCAGAGTTGTCCAATTTGGGGAATAAACCACCTCCCTCCTCAGGCTCCCTCTCTCCTGCTTCCTTCCTTCATTTGCGGTGTGCTCTGTATATACTTGTTACTCAGAGGTGCACTGGCCATTTCCAGTCATAGCCACCACCTCTGGCTACTCCTTCAAATGTTCTCTGTCGCTCTTTGGTTTTTTCCTTCTGGTGGTTTTGTTTTTATAGATCAGTGCTTCTCATCACTCAGTGAAATGAGCCACTGCCCCGGTCTGTTCAAACTGCTGTGGCACAATACCATAAACGGAGTGGCTTAGAAACAACAGAAATTTAGTTCTTACTGTTTTGGAGGCTCTCGAGGCAGCCAAGATCAAGGTGCTGGCAGATTTGGTGTCTGGTGAGGGCTGCCTTTTGGCGCCTAGATAGAAGGCAGCTCCGTTGCCGTGTTCTCGTGTAGAAGTGGCGATGTCTGCTTTTAGCCCCTTAAATGGGTGCTGATCTTGTTGTGAAGACTCCATTGTCAAGGCCTGGCCATCCCCCACCCCTCCAATCCCCACCCCCCCTCCCCTCTACCCCCACTCCCACTTCCTGTCTGCAGGTTCACTTTAAACATATGGACTTGGAGAGAGGGGACACAGAAAGGTTAAAGTTTGGCCGTGATGTGACGGTGCCGGCAGGTGTGGTCCTCCGACAGCATCTTTCCCCCAAGTAAACAAACAGCTCCTCTGACCCTGCTCGGATGCAGTTGCAGAGGCACCAACCGGGACTTCTGCAGGAGGTCGGTCATTCAGAGCATCGCTATCTCACACGCCCCTTCCTCTTTCTTTTGTTACCTTGGCAGGACTCTGCTTCAACAACTTCAGAAGCTTCAGGCTCTGGTGATGGGCAAGGTCTCCCGAACCTGCAAGTTAGCCGGCACCCAGACTGGCACCTGCCTCATGGTGAGTTTCCCGATTTTCAGATTCCCCTGCCTTGGAAATGCCAAGAGTGAATGACGCCAGAGAGGCCATGCATCCGGTCCCAAGGCTTCTCCTCTGCATGGGACATGACTGGGGGAGTGAGATGGCCCCAACAGAGAGGCATTCTTCCTCCTCCTAGTGCCCCCAGGTGGCTTGTCCCTGAAGGTCTGCCCCCCCCCCCCCGCCGCAGTCTGGGATCAGTAGCCCCCCATGTTCTCCCCTCCAGGTCGTTGTGCTGTGCTTTGCTGTTGCGTTTGGCAGCTTCTTTCAAGGCTATGGGCCCTATCCCTCTGCCACCAAGATGGCTCTGCCCAGCCAGCATCGCCTGTCAGAGCCATACACAGCCTCCGTGGGTAAGTCATCGGCGTGTTTTCTTTGTCTGAAGTTAGCTGGCTTTCCCAGCTTTCTGAACGGAATCTCACCCGGAAGTAGAGGGGCTCCATTTGCAGGTGGAATGTCCTGGGAGTAGCCACTGGACTCCATTGTGTAGACCAGAAAAGATCCCTTTGGGATCTGACATGGGGGATTTGGTACTTGGAAGACTGGAGAGTAAGGAGGACATTTAGTTTTTCTGACATCTCATGATTGTTCAAGAGTGACTGCAAGGGGAATTCTATACTATTGCAATGAGAGTTTGCAGCAAAGTTAAAGAGTTGGTCTGTCTCGTGCCCAAGACTTTGAGAAGTCGGAGGCTCTGGGGTTCACATAGGCAGCGTGTACGGTTCTCCCCTGGAAAAATGATGCTTTTTGAGTGTTTAGAAAATAGAGGGAGGACAAAGAGGAAGTAAACACAGAGTGGTACAGCGATGTTAGGAGCAACACGCCCAGAGTTAGAGACTCAGGCTTTGAGGAAGGGAAAATTTCGCCATCCTCAAAATGCCTGTGGATTTCAGTAGTTAGTATATCCAGGCCAGATACATGATAAAATGGCACTCCGTTAAGATGATTTCAGTGGCTTGTTGGGAAGTTTCTTTCCTGAGGGAAATGGCTCTGAATTTTGGAAGCTAATGGGCACACATTCTCTATGCCCAGGAAATGGCTACAGGGTCATCTAGCCATATAACTGTCCCATAATGCAGCAGAGATTGCCTCCCTCTGACTCTGGGCTGTCTCTGCTTTCTGGGGATGCTTCCTCATTCAGCTGGGTTTTGACAACTCCAAGTGTTTAACCCTCATTTTCCACGTGCTGTTTCCCCCAAGACTGTAATGGGTAGGGATGGGAGACATTTTACTAAAGGCGGTGTGTGTGTGTGTGTGTGTATGGGGGGGGGCGTTGGCTTTGTATTTGTTTGCTTTTATGTTGTTCTCCCAACCTATATAAGTGGTATAATTTTTGCTGTCTAAAGTCTGAACCCCGAAGCCATTACAGGAAGCCCAGCCCAGCTGGCACTGTCTATCCCAGAGGATGGGAGCATGTCGTCATCTGCCACTGGCCTCGGGCACTAGGAGCAAAGGCCTCCTATGTTATTTTGCTAACATCTGTTGCTCTCTTCTTTCTTCAGTGAGATCCAGGAACCTGCTCATCTATGAGGAGCATTCTCCCCTGGAGGAGCCATCCGGTCCAGCTTCAGCTGGAGAGCTTGGGGGCTGGGACAGGGGTTCCTCCCTGCTCAGGGCATCGGGGCTCGAGGCCCTGCCGGAGGTGGATCTCCCTCACTTCATCATGACCAATGAGACCAGCGTGGAGAAGTCAGTGCTGTTGGAGCTTCGGCAACACCTGTGAGTCCTGTAGGTGCAGGCCTGGTGGCCGGCTGTGGGCCCATTCGAGGCGCTGGCGCTGGGGAGAGCCTGCTGATGGCTGTTAGCAGGGCAAATGTCTCACCATCAGCCCAGAGCTGGCAGCGGTGGCCCCATTGAGCAAGAGGGGATGCCACTTCCCTCAGTCACAATCTCCATTTTTCTCTCAATGCCACAGTGTGGCTACACGTGGTAGCTCATGCCTTTAATCCTAGCATTCGGGGAAAGTCAGCAGCTCAAGGCCAGCCTCTGCTTCATAGTGAGTTCACTGTTAGCCTGGGCTGTATGAGATCCTGTCTCCAAATAAACGCCTGGTGACATCAGAGAGCTTGTTCTACAAATGCACCTCCTTCTAACTGGAGAGGAAAAGAAAGTTGTGGTGGATATCAGTATGATTAAGGATTTACATGTCAGTGCACGGGAATCCGCTGTAGGTGCTGATGAAGTGTCCTTTGTGTGAAATGCTTGGGACTGTTACGAATAGTTTTCCCACCAGCCTGACAGCCACATCAGTCCCAAATAACACCCAGAGACAGAGACGTTGTATTAGATATGAAGCTGTTGGTCTGTTACTAGTGTTTCTTATTGGCTAGCTCTGTCTTAAATATTAACCCATTTATATCAATCTAAATATTTCCACGTGGTCTTATCTTACCAGAGAAAGGATCCGACCTCTGCTCTCTTGGTCCTACATGTTGACTTTCCTTCTACCTCTCCCCCAATCCTCCTTGTCTTCTAGTCCTGCCTGTCTTGCTTTCCTATTGGCCAACAAGGCTTTATTCATTAATCAATAAGAGAAACATATTACAGAATGACATCTCCCATCATCTCCTCTTTTCTGTCTAAAATAAAAAGGGTTTTAACGTTAATATAGTAAAATTACATATAACAAAACAGTTATCAAATAAGAACTATTGTTAACAATATTTATTACATTACATTTAGCAAGATTTAAAGAAAATATGTCATCATCTATCCTATCTTTGTGAGTCTAAAGTCCTATATGTAACTTCTCTTTAATCCCAACTAAGGAAAACTATAACCATAACTGTCTATCTTCAACTCTATCAAAGACCACAGAAGGATAATATATAAATTCTAGATATAACAGAGACATCTTGCTACCTGGTCAGTCACCGGAAGTTCTTCTGTAATGTCACATCTTTAGGCTATAGGCCATAGTGTGTCTGGCAGACTCCTCAGCAAAGCAGGAAACTTTAAACTTGGCAGTTTGCCAGTCATTTTTCTCTGTGTCCTGCAGACTGTCTGGCAGACACTTCCATGAAGCAGGAACTCTGTAGCAATGTCCATCTTGTTTCAGCAGTCACTTTCCTGTGGGTCCTGCATGTCCAGTTTATACAGCATAAAGTCAAACAGTCCAGACAAGAGCAGTATCTTGCCCAAATGGCTAGTCTTGCCATATTGGAAGCAAACTCCGTAACAGGTTTCTTCGATGTCCATCTTCCTTTGTGACGCAGCTGGTGTTGCCAGGAGCAGTTGTGTCTCACTGTCAAGAAAAACCATAAACCATTTTAAATTCCATATTCTGCAGGCCTTTGAAAGGTTTGAAGAATTCCTATCCATCTCAAATACATGTCTGTATATCTAGAAAGTCTAACAAACTTAACTCTAAGTTTTGACTATTATAGGTAACTATCTAAAATCTGTACTAAATTATACATTTTTAAATGAGCTATATAAACACAATACCTAAACAAGAGAAGAAATATACATATCACAAATCTGACCTTAAATTGTATCAACAAATAAAAATCCATTCCAAAACAAAGTACTCATTTCTATACCATAATCCCCTTTTTACCTTTAAAAAGAGATTGGTTGTGATCATTAACCATTTATAACAACCCCATTTAAATGAAAACAAACATTTATAAATAATATTTGGGAATTTGGGCATTGTTCTTTCCAAACTGCTTCTTGCTGATAGGGAGTGCTGTCGTGGGGATCCTAAGAAGACACAGAAATCCTGGCTGTAGTTGCCTGCAAGGCTGCCTTGTCCCAGCTGTTTTGAATGTTGGATCACCTGGGACACTGTTTCAGGGGGACTTACTTGATCAAACCATGTTAGTCTGGGAGGAATCCACAGCTTTTTATTTTCTGTGGAAACAAAAATAGAAATTCTTTTCCCCAGTAACCTGTCAGACTTAAATTTGGAAGTCAAAGCATTTTTAAAATATATAAATTGGATTAATTCAGCAGCATTGATAATCAAGTATATTGTAGCAATTATTCCTTCCTTAGCAATTGAGCAACTCAAAGACAACATAATAGCATACAGTATCCAGACTCTCTGTGTATTTTCCATTTTCAAATGGCTTTTTTATTACTCTATTTTTCCTATTCTATTTTTTTATTTATTGAGACAGGGTTTCTCTGTGTACCTTTTATCTGTCCTGGAATTAACTCTGTATACAGGTTTGCTTTGAAATCACAGAGATCTGTTTGCCTCTGCCTCCTGAGTGCTGGAATTAAAGGTGTCTGCCACCACACCCAGCTACTTTCTTGTTTTTTTTTTTTTTTTTTTTTTAACCACTTTATTCTGTTTCTTTTTTCTCTCCCAAGCCTATGTATATTTTAATGTAAACCTTTAGAGGTTTTTCTTTATCTGAATCTGTCTTTACTGTAAATCTTATCTTTTTCTGGCCACTAGTCTTTTATCTGCTAAACAACATTGCTAAAATGAAAGCCACAGCTGTATTAGCCACAGTCTATCCAAGATGGTGTGTGGGGGGTGTGGGGAGGTACGTTTACCACCAGAACTGAGAGCTGTGCTCACTGTCTTAGTCTACGCTACCATCCAGCAGCATGCTGCCAGCTTGGAGATGTGGTCACTGCCATTGCCAGCTCTAGTACACACCATTAAGTTGTTAGAAGGGTTTGCTGCTTATGCTGAGTCAGGAAACCTCCCTTAAAGGAGCAGCGCAAATTTCTGCTTGTCTCTAGCAAAACAAAGTCCTACCAAGAAAAATGCTGTTACTAAGAAGCCTTGCTTGTCTCTGTTCTTTTGTTTCTAAACCCCCATTTTAAGGTTTTGTTACTTTTTAAGTGGAAGTTCTTAGTAGCCACGTTGCCGTGGCCATTTTGTTACAAGCATTTTCCCAGCCAGCCTGGTCCCACAGCCACATCAGCCCCAAATAACACGCAGAGGTGCTGTATTTGATAGAAAGCTGTTGGCCTGTTATTAGCATTTCTTATTGGTCAGCTTGTCTTAAATATTAACCCATTTCTATTAATCTAAGTGTTTCCACGTGGTCTTATCTTACCTCTTACAGAAGAGAGGATTCAGACCTCTGCTCTCTTGGTCCTACATGTTGAACCTCCTCCTACCTCTCCCCGAATCCTCCTTGTCCCCTAGTCCTGCCTATCTGGTTTCCTGTTGGCCAACAGGGCTTTATTCATTAACCAGTAAGAGAAACATATTTACAGAGTGACATCTCCACAAAGTCTTTGGAATAGTTTCCAGGTATTGGGATATTTGCATATATTTAATGAGGTATGCTGGGCATTGGACCTCAGCCTTAAACACGTAATTTATCTGTGTTAGGTAAGAAAGTTTAGTTTTTAGAGCAGTTTAGGGACTGGGAATGCTCGGCTGTAAACATGTATGCATTTGTATTGAGGGAGTGTGGCGATGAAACAGTGTTTCTTTCCCATGTTGAAAATCATCTACACATGGCTCCAACTCTGCACACACTGTTCCTCTCACATAGCTGGGGGTGGGGATCCATTTGAAGCCATCAGCGTAGGAAGGATGCGTGTACCCTCTGCGTGATGTGTGGTGAAACTTATGAATTAGCTAATATGCGCTCCTAGATGACCCAGAAAAAGGGCTGTTCCAGGGTACCCTTGTGCACCAGAGTCCATAATCACATGTACTTTTTGTATACACGATATGCATATATTTAATACTTACTAGTACTGACCACTGCCCAGATGTGTTATCATAACAAACCTTGTAATTTTATCCCCGTTATGGAGAGAACCTGGGGCCAGTACTGGAAGCCCCAGAGACTGAGCTGCTATTGGATAGCCCCGGAAACTGAGCTGTTGGATAGCCCTGGAGACAGCTGTTGTTGGATAGCCCAGGAGACTGAGCTGTTGGATAGCCCTGGAGACAGCTGTTGTTGGATAGCCCTGGAGACAGCTGTTGTTGGATAGCCCAGGAGACTGAGCTGTTGTTGGATAGCCCTGGAGACAGCTGTTGTTGGATAGCCTGGAGACTGAGCTGTTGGATAGCCTGGAGACTGAGCTGTTGGATAACACGTCTCATAGCACAGTCTGCTCTCCTAGCTCAGTGTTTGGAAGCCCCATTCACATTCCTCAGTTTACCGTGATGTCTCCCAAATCCTAAAGCCTCCCTGACTCCCATCATAATGCTGGGAGATTTTGACCACATGTCTGTTTTGTGGTATGTATTTTGTTTTATTTCAGTTGATTCATTTTTAAAAAGATCCTTGTCTGGATTCTTAATTTTGGAGCAGGGCTCAGCCCTTGTCCCCCTGCACCTTCCTTCCTGTAAGTTACAGCATTGAGGCCATTAATAAACAGAGAACAGTTATTGAAAGCAATTTAAAGTAAGTCAGCGTGGAACCACCATGGGTCTCCCCTGGGCCCAGATAAAGTTGGGAATGTGGGGGTGAGCTCGTGACTAGTGGGAGACTTGGGGAGCCAAGAGTAGCCAAGTAGGGTTTTAAAAGACTCTGCCAGGTTCGACCCACAGAGCTATAACTGGGTCATGATACAGGATGTGAGAATTTTAGCAAGATCTAGGGGCTCACACTTCTTTCTCCCTTTGATGCCTTCGCAGGGGCGGCAGCAAACTGGAAGGCAACGAAACGCTCAAAGTTGTAGAACTCGAGAGGAGAGTGAATGCCACCTTCTAAGGATCCCTCTCCACCTTCCTCTTCTCCTCACTCCAGCTGTGCACCCCCAAACCGTCTTACCCTTCAGCTTCTCCTTCACCCCTGGATTCCGAGGAGGATGTGGACCAGTGCTAGTGGCTTGAGACGGGAGGCCAGCCTGGGGCTTTCTGCTTGTATGTCCCCATAGCTCTACACAGAAGGGAGCTGGGCACCTCTCCATCCCTTTCTCTTACTGCCGTAGGAAATTATCGTAGGGGTGAGGTAGGGGTGGGGCGAGCAGGCTTGTTTCCATTAGTACCAAGAAGGTAAGGCACGACTCTTCCCTGTGAGGTGTGACCCTTCCGAAGGAGGCGTTCAGCTGGGACCCCAGACTGGAGCCACAAACATGTTGTGAAAGCGAGTGGCTAAAAGCGCCTGTTCCTGACGTACCTTGCTCACTTGGACTCCAGTTGACCCTGTGATGGATGGCAGGCGGAAAAACCCGTACACGTTACAACCCTGCTCCTGCTGACGGTACCAAAGTGTCATTCCAGCCTTCTCTCTCAGCTCTGCACCCTGGAGCCCCGCCTGGCTTCCTGCACTGCCAAGCAGGACTCTCTCCACATTCTCAGGCCGCACGTGCAATTCCTGAAGGCATCAGGCTCTTCTCCTCCAGGCCAACCTGCCCAACATGTTGCTTGTAGGAGACCCCCCCACACACACACACACCATACACACAGCCTGCATCCCTATGGGACAGTAGCTCTGTCTCCCTGGCCTCCCCACCCTATTTGTAAATAGTATTTATTAGCTCGCTGAAGCTCCCCACTGACCATGGTAAAGAAATTCCATGACCCCTCCCAATAAGCAAAGTCTTTAGTTGGCCTTTGGAACAGGAGAGTCCCCAGGATCTGGAACCCCCAGTCTTTATAGTTAATGCCATATTTTCTCCATTTCCTTTTTTTTTAAATTGGAGACCTATAAAATAACCACTGCAGGGCAATCTTCTTTAGCATGTGCCCCGGCTGGATGAATTCACTGGGAATGACGGAACGCTGTCCTCTTGTTCGGGCTGCAGGCTCTATGGCTACCTTGCTTTCTCTCTCCGTGTTCCTGGGACAGACAAGGGAAGCCCTGCCCCTGACATGAGGCATTGCTGACAACCTTGCTAGCCTGTCCTGCATCCTGCCTCCCCCTCCTCCCCCCACTTCTGCCTGCCTGCTCTCCACCTGCCTTCACTGGGGGCGGGGCTGGAGTTGGTGACATCTGTGCACCCACAGTCAGGTGTGGCTACTTTGCAGCTCACCCAAAGAGACACGGTGACCCCCGGAGTCCTTTCCTTTTTTTATGATTGAAAAGTGAAGTTTGTAGTTTAAAAAAAAAAAAAAAATCCTTTTCTCTTTCACACAAATAAGAAATGGAAAGTACTCTTTTATTGTATGAGATAGAAGACTCTTTTTAAGTGTCCCCTCCCCCCCAGCTTGTAAAAAAAAAATTATGTAAGAAATGTGCTTATACTCTGTATTTTATTTTTAGCAACAGCTGAAGGGCCTTTAGTTTTGGCTTCTCTCCTTGCTCGCCTGCCCTCTCTCTCTCTCTATCTCCCTCTCTCTTTCAACTTAGAGCCTGTATAAGAGGGATTATGACCACACTGGTCCTTGCCTTCTATGTCATATACAGGACTTGGTGTTATTAGTGTCTGCTGTCATGCTCCATGAACAGCTTTCTATTTGGTGTGCTCAGGTCATCATAGGGAGTGCTCCCTCCTCCTCCCTCCCCCTCCCTCCCTCCCTCCTCCCTCCCTCCCATGGTGGGTTCCCAGCTAAGCCGGCAGATGGCCAAGCTCCCCTTGTAGTGTGTGAGACCCACCTCAGGGCCACTGTGATCCTGGCAGCCCTGCTGCCCACAGGGCTGCCGCTGCCCCTTATGTTCAGAAGCCTGGACTATACAGACAGGAGAGTGGCTGTGACTTCCTTCTGCTTTCTTTCAGTCTCCTCACTTCCTCTGATCATCCTGGGCCTGGCCCATCCTGTTCTTTAGAGTGCCAGATGTTTCTGCGTAGTAAACATAAAAAAAATGCCTGTGAGAGCCTAAGAAGGGGAAACCTCAAGATGAGGTAGAATTGGTGTGATGAGAAAGGGGGAGTTTGCAGTGAAGGGCGGAAGTGAGGTTTTAGGCTGATGTGTACATCTGCTGGGCCGAACCTTGGTTCTCTGATGTGCCTGGACCAGCAGCCTGGGTGGAGCCCTATTTGAGGATGCAGAGGGAGAAGGGAATGTCTAGTCATGCCTAGTTCTCTGAGGATTTGGTTTTCCTCTCTGCCTACTCTTTCGGACGTCACTGTCTACAGACAGCAGGGCCCTTTGTCTGTGGGAAATTGGCCTTCCAGAATAGAGTCTGTAACTAGAGACGTGGGACACTAGCCAGAGAGCTCAAACAGCCCTTTAAAGGAACTCTCAGCAGCCAACCCTGCCATCCTATTGAGAAAACCTTCTGCTGACTGCTCCTGGCTTAGTGAGCAAAAGGGATCCTGTGCAGTCAGGGGACCCAGGGTGGGTTACAAGTAATGAACGATGAGCGCACACTTTCTGTCCAAAGTTTAAGGCGAGAATATCAGTTTTCCCCACTAACTGAGCTGTCCTGCGGACCACTCAATAACGTATGGATGTCTCTGAAGGTTTGGAATAGTGGCAGACTTTAACACCTCGAATTGAAATTTTGAAAATAACCAAGACTGCTATATTGTTAGAGAAGCCAGACCCATTAGTTTGCCGGTTCTGTTTTCATCTCCCAGTCATGGTTTTTCCAGTGGGAATGTCATTGCCCTCCCGTCATTAATCTTTCTTTCTTTTTATTTATTTTATATAACCAAGTCCATTTAAATGAAAACAAACATTCATAGACAATATTTGGGAATGTGGGCGTCGTTCTTTCCAAACTACTTCCTGCTGGTAAGGGGCGCTGTCATGGGGGATTCGAAGAAGATGCAGAAATCCTGGCTGTAGTCTGCAAGGCTGCTTTGTCCAGCTGTTTTGAATGTAGGATCACCTGGTACTCTGTTTCAGGGGGTCTGGCTTGATCAAACCACATTAGTCTGGAAGGAATCTACAGCTTTTCATTTTCTGTGGAAACAAAAATGGAAATCCTTTTCCCCAGTAACTTGTCCTTCAACTTAAATTTTGGAGTCAAAGCATTTTTTTTAATTTAATTTATTATTTTACATGTCGATCCCAGTTCCCCCTCCCTCCCTCCTTCCCTTCCCTTTTACCCTTTCTGCCCTCTCACATGCACTCTAACCACCCTCCCCTCCCATCCCCCCACCCCAATTCCATATGTAGGGGAATGCCATCCAGTTGGGGTCATGTAGATCTGACAGGTCAAGTGAAGTAGGGACTAGGGCTTCTCTCCTGTCTCTAGATTAAGGCAGTTATCCCTCCATGGGGGATGTGTTCGCAAAGTCCTTTTGTGCACCAGGGATACATCCTGGTTCCACTGCCCCATACACATTTTTAAGATCACTTTAGAGATGGAGACATCTTGCAGAGATGTAGAGAATAAGCCCCCCCCTCCCTTTTTTCCTGTAGATGAGGCCTGAGTAACCCAGTTGCCCCTTCCCTTGGGTCTCTCCACAGCTCCAACTTCCCACTGGGAAATGGGCCTTATAAATGAGAGGAGTCAGCACCAGCATTGGGGGAGGGTCTCTGAAGTGTCAGGGCACTGGAGGGTAGCTCCCCGAAAGAAAGCGTACTATAAAAACCAGCTGAACTCAGTTGCCCCTTCCTGGCAGAAGGTGGGTGTGGGATCTGAGATCGGTGCAGGCAAAGTTAGGTAACCTTTTGGTCCGTAGGAATGATTTTGTGGATTGGTGAAACAGCTTTAGGGCCACGCTACTTACAAACTGTATGTACCAGGGCACTGGATACCCCCTCTCGAGCATCAGTTGTGCTTGAGTAGCCCCGTGGTGGCTATGGATCTTACGTCCATGTGCAGCAGGAATACCGGGCCGACCCCTCTTTGTGCTGGGACAGCGTCCACCTCCGTCTTTCTTACCGTGTTAAAATTCTTCCCAACACTTCATGTCCCCTCTTGTCCCATATGCCCAGACAAGGAAAAAGCAGCAAATCAGAATTAGAAGTGTCTCCGAGCCAGCTCCTGTGGACATCAGTGCCTTTGTGAGGTGTGTGTGTGTGTGTGTGTGTGTGTGTGTGTGTGTGTGTGTGTGAGCCCAGCAGAGAAACTGAGACATCTTGTCCCCACCTGAGGAGCGGACATCTGCCTGATCCTTGCCAATGTGGAGGTGTGGGAATGGGAGGAGAGGCTTTTATTGGCTAATTTGTTTCTGCTGAGCCAAGTGTTTGAGAAACCTGGATGATGAGCTCGGCAATCCTCTTGCAGCCTGTTGGGACCTGTGGAGCCATCCACAGTGCGGTCTTGGTGAGAGCCATTTTTTTTGTGAACACAAGCAGCACAGGGGTGATAGGATAAGTTACACCCCCCTCCCCTCCCCCCTGAGGCAGGAATGGAAGGAGCGGTGAGATGGGGGCTAGAAGGAGCCAGACATAAATTTCAGCTCATTCGTGCATTCATTTATTCATGCATTCATGCATTCATTTGTCCATTCCTTAAACTTTGCACTTTTCCTAAGGAAGAGTGGGCGTCATAAGACCTCAAAAATATTGGAGGATAAGAGGGACTTGGAAAGCCAGTTTGTTAGTAGCCGTTCTGAAGACCCAAGTACTAACTAATGCTAGTGCTCCTGCCCCGGACACACACTCTTCTCCTAGGTACTTATGTCTCCAATGTGCCTTGTATCTGAACCGACGATGGCAGGAATCTCCTGTCCCTGGAAAGTGTCACTTACGGGGGGGGGGGGGCTTTCTCCAGAGACTCCGAGATGGTTCCCTACAAGTGAGCTTTTGCCTCTCAGGGGAAAAGAAGCAGGGTTGTGCGCATCAGGAAAATCCCACTTTGTAGATAGAGGTGCAATCACATCGAAAACATGGCCAGCCAGGATTAAAGGTATTCTAAATCCTCACCACAGGAACATTTTCTGGACGCAAAGGCATTAGCCCATTGGAAGATTAATGCCCCGTGCTTCTGGGCCAAGAGGTCAGCAGCTATGCACTAGAGAGAAAAGCATTAACTGTTGTTTGTGACGGCATAAAATTCAGGGCTGCCTTACTTTGTCTTCGTTTCTAGAAGGAGGGAGATATTATTTCCCGAGTATTTACTGAGGTGTTGAGTGTTGTGCTAAGTAAGCTTGGAGCTTTTGAACTTGATTGAAACAGAAAGCACTGGTGGCTCATTGCCCTGCA